TTCAATCCTTGGCACATCCCCTTCCCAATCTTGTCTGGCTTCACCATCTGCTTGTACGAGTACATATTTTTATTTTTATTCAAGTTGGCCCACTTTGAGGGTTCAGAAATTTTTACTTATCAAAGGTAACTTCCCATCACCACCATTTGCAGGGAACTTGATGGCTTCTGCCTTGAATGGAAGCAGAAATAAAACTAAGCACAATGAAAACAGAGCAAAGTGAGGACCTCCCAGCTGGGCCCCGCTACTGGCCAGAGACTCTGTTGTAGAGAATGCTCTCTTTGTTGTAAAGGGAGATGGGGGGCGGGCATTAGGGACTGAGGGACCTCCTGAAACATGGGCCTCGCTATAAGCAGAAGGAGGAAGGCACAGCTCCTGGATTGGTGAGCTTTGCTACTGGGTCTGTGCCAACGCTCAGTTACCTAGAGGATCAGCACGGATGGGCTCCCCACAATTTGGGAGACACTACTCATTTCACGATGATCTGTTCTCAAGTGAAAAACATCACCCTGTTACACTCCTACGCCCTGCAGCCCATAGCAGGGGATCCTAACTCAGCAGAGCTCACCCCACCTGCAAGGCAGACCTTACTGCTCCTGAATCTGACCCTGAACTCCAGCCACAGGGAACTTCTTGCCTTTCTCCATGGGTGCCAGGCCCCTTCCTGCCTCAGGGCCTTTGCGCACACACACTTGGTGCACCCTCGACAACACTCCCACCCACTATCACCTCTCCCTGCCAGAGGATGCTACCTCTTTGATCTAGGATTTCTCTGCCTCTTATCAAGTCAGTCTCAGCAGATGCCAGCTGGATGCCAGCAGCCACTCCTAGAGGGCTCTGGGTAGGTTTTTTCCAGTCGGAAAGAACGCTAGGGCAGGTCAATTCCAGAAAACTATTTGACTGCAAGTGAAATGGAAGCTCAAGCCCTGGCCAGTGTGGCTCAGTGGGTTGAGCATCGTCTCGTGCACGGAAAGGTCACTGGCTCGATTCCTGGTCAGGGCACATGCCCAGGTTGTGGGTTTCGTCCCCGGTTGGGGTGCGTGTGAGAGGGAACAGATCGATGTTTCTCTCTCACATCGATGTTTCTCTCTCTTCCTCTCTCCCTCTCCCTCTCTCTAAAATCAATTTTTTTAAAAACATTAAAGAAATGGAAGCTCAATTATTTTTCCTGCCGGGATATTGCCATTCTGCACTCACAATGGGATGCATTCCAGAAATTCCTATTGAAAATGTGGCATTTCATAATTTATAATATTTTTAAAATGATGACCCAGAAGTTGCATAATCCTCTCCTTTTCCCCCTGAATCTGTGGTTTCTGTCTAAGCTGACACAGCACTTGAGACAACAGAGAAGATAAATCTCCTTCAGGCTGAACCGCGAGAGAAAATCTGTCCTCAGCCTTGAAAGGGGGGTGTCTGTCTGCGAGTGCCCACAGTTGCACAGCCTGGGGTACAAAGCCAGTTGCTACTGTGATCCTGGGTGGAATGCCAGCACCTCCCCCAAAACACTCAGATGTCAGATTTCCCTGCACCTATGCACAGGACCTTGACCAATTCTGACATGAGATGACCTGAGCTGATGTTTCTTCAAGAAGGGAGTCAAGAAAAGAGAACATGGTTCCTCAATAGGTTAATGTGACCCCGGTAATTCCACTCTTGGGTGTAGACCCAAACAATCGAAAATAGGCTTTTAAAGAAAAACATGTACACAAATGTTAATAGCAGCATCATTCACAATAACCAAAATGTGGAAACATCCCAAACTTCCACTGGTGGAAGAATGGATAAGCCAAATGTGGTCTATGCACACGGAGGAATATTACTCACCCGTAAAAAAGGACTGAAGCACTGACACGCTACAACATGGGGAACCATGACAACGTCATACCAAGTGAAAGAAGCCAGTCACAGAAAGCCACATATGTACGATTCCATTTATGTGAAATGTCAAGAATAGTAAATCCGTAGAAACAGAAGGTAGACTAGTAGTTGCCAGGGGCTAGGGAGGAAAGAAAGCGGAGTGACTGCTAATAATGGCCATGGGGCCTCCTTTGTTCTGGAATTAGACTGTGGTGATGGTTACACAACATTTCGAATGTACTATCACTGCACTGTCCACTTTAAAATAGTTAAAATGGTAAATTTTGTGTTTATGTATATTTTACCACAATAAAACAATTTTTTATTCAAGGAAAGAAAGAAAGAGAAAAAAAGAAAGAAGGAAGGAAAGAAAAGAAAAAAGGGCATGGCTGGCGCTACCAACCACCTCCCAGACCTGATCGAGCCTCCCTGCTCCAGAACAAAGCATGTTTCATTTAGGACTTTATGAGGGGCTCCAGACCCCTGTCCCAGGAAGGTCTGAGAATCTATTCAGCTCAATGAGATGAAATGAAATGACGCCTGTGTTGTAGTTTCCTTTCTTGACAAGCCATCAGCCCCTTTGAGCGATGCTGGGTTTTGCACATCTGGGACTGATCAAAAACTAGTGAGTTTGCAAAAGAAAAAAGAAAAAAAAAGCCTCCTAGGTTGGGAGCAAGCAGACACAGAGGCACCTCCCATACATAGTAAATTACACTGGTGACAGAGAAAAGAAATGTTCCAACTCCCACAGGCCAAAGGGGTCAGCGATGGGGGTCCTGCCTCTAAAAGCCAGTTTTCAAATGCAACTGACTTAAGGCTAGAGAACTAACGTGGGGTCTTTGAGGGAGGAACGGCATGTGGGGGCTCTCAGAGGCCTCATGCTTTTGTGCAGGGGCTCCATTCCTGCCCCTAGCCAGCCAGCTCTTCTCTCCAGTCTGGAAGCAGGACCTTGGGAGCCAGTATTGATCTGAGTCCTGGGGCCGGGCTCCCTGCATTGATACCAGTACCTGCCGGCAGAGTGGAGTCCAAGCCCCCTTGTGTCAGTGCATCCCCTTTCCAGACCCACCCCTAACCCAGGCCAGGGACCTCGATCCCATGTGGTAGGAGAGGCCTTGACTAGCAGCGAACTCTGCCGTGACAGCCGAGGGGCTCAGCACTGGATGAGCACTTTCTTCCAGGATCTGCGGCAGGCCCCCGCCAGGATGGCAGCTCTCCCCTGCCTTGGCTCTGTCATGCTGGGTACATGCCTTAACCGCTCCAAGCTTCCAATTTCCTACTTGTAAAAAGGGGGATGGGCCGGTGCCCACCTCATAAAATAGTCAGTGAGATCATCCATGTAAAAAAAACCCTGGGCATGGCTGGCCCGGAGTGCTGGGTAAGTGTCGGGCTGGTGTGATTATACGTGTTATTCTTATTATCCCAACTCCTACATCCTAAGAGGCTCTGTAAAAATCAAACTGACCCTCTCCATCCTCTTGCTAGGGTGCACTGTCGGGGTCCTGGGGCTTGTGATCAGCTCTGTTGACAGCGGTTTTACCTGGAGCCCCTCCCAGGCAAAACAACACCTCAGACGTAACAACGCCTTGTGCGAAGGTCAGGCCCAGGGGATGGAGTTAGGGGCTAGGCAGGGCCCAGCAATTAAGTGTAGGGTCTGCAGCCAGACAGACCTGGAGGTGACAGCAGGTGACAGCATGGCACACCAGCTAGGGGACCTTGGCATGCACCTCTTTGAGCCTTGGTTTTCCCATCTGTGAAATGGGGATCAAGAGGCCTGCTGCCCAGGTGTGCCGCAGAGATGATAATTCAGGTTAAGTGCATGGCCCAGGGTCTCATACCTGCCACACCAGTTGTACAGCTCCCACACCTTCTGCTCCTCCCCCATGTGGAAACAGCCAGATCAGAGGCAGAAGCAGAAAAGCAGGTGCACAAAACGCAAAGCCCTGGAAGGTCCCCTCTCAGACTATTTGGGGAAGGCCACCTGCCCCTCATCTTTTTCTGCAGGACCCTGGTCTCTCACCTGTCAAAGTCTAGACCCTAGATGCCCTGACCCAGCCGGGAAAGGTAGCTCACCCTATTCTTCCATAATGAGGGGCCCAGATGCTCAAGGTAAAAACTCACAAACCCACTCTAGGTTGCAAGGCAAGCTGAGTATTTGCACAGGCCCTCCAGTTGCTTCTCTCGACCAGAGCAGCAATCTACCTTTTGGCTAAAAGACGCCCAATTCAAGTCAGACTTCAATGAGTAGGCATCAGCTAAGCCCTTTCTGGCCTGTCTACTAGCCTAGCACTTGGCAAGGGAGTCTCTGGGTCTGCCCCACATGAGGCGCCGGCTCTGGTTCTATCCATCTAGGGCAGCCCATCGCCCCAGGACGGCAGAACCAAGCCCTCAGCTCCCAGCAGAATTCTCTCCACGCAAGGAGTTTATGCAGGTGCCCACTCTGGCTGAAGATACCCAGGAACCCGCTCCTGAACCTGCAAGAACTCTGACATGCCCCAGGCCCGGACACATCCCACGGCCCTCTGGAGCTTTGGACGCAGATAGAGCTGGATTTCAGCCCTGGCCCTGCCTGGACAACTCACTTCGCCTCCCTAATCCCCCCACGTCTTCATCTGAAATATGAGAAGAGGAAGGCTACTGTGAGGGTTGTTGCAAATGAAACAACATAAAGATAGGACGTGGTCCTGTAAACTGTTGGAGCAGGATGCGCACACCGTTGGCATCACCCCCAGCCATCCTCATGTGGGTAGGCACATTCAAACTCCTGCCACATCCACACTATGGGCTTCCACTGACGGACGCCCGGTGCCTGCACAGGAAGGCGGCAGATGCTAGGGGACCGCGCGGGCCGGCAAGGAGCACGCAGCCTCCAGGAGCCCGGGTCTGCGCTCAGCCCGCCTCTGCGTCCCGGCTCCCTCCCTTCCTGCCTGTGGTCTTGGGCAACTGACTTGCCCTGGACGTGCCTCAGTTTCTCCAGGGGCAAGCGGCTGAGCCCGGTTCTGGGACGCGGGGAGGCGCTCCGTTTGGTGCTTGCTCACAGCGAGCCCTAAGAGCGGGCATCTGCCCTGGCTACTTCCACTCCTGGGAGATGACGGGCATGGACCAAGGCTGGCAGAGAGGAAAGGAGTCTAAGTCACACTTACCGCCGCAGAGGCTCCAATCACCGGCCCGTAGGGGTCTCCTGCGTCGTGCAGAGGCGGCGGCGGCGCGAGCACAGCGGGACTCGGGACGGACCGGCCGCGGCGCGAGCGAGAACCTGAGAACCCGGCGGCCGAGCGCGCAGTGGATCCCCGGCCCCGCGCTCCGCTTCTTATACGTTGTCAGTAGCCCGGAGGCCACGCCCCCGGGGGCGCGGGAGCTGATAGGGCGGCAGGGTA